ATAAGATCTTTCTACAGCACCAAGTGAAATTTATTCTCAGTTCTCATTAATTAGTCTTTGCTGGCAATGTAATACAAACACTTTTATTTTCATATTTTTTTTTTGTATTTTCTTCTTTTGCATGAATCAAAAGGTCAGTTAACCCTTCCATTCATTTCACTGTCATACCCAAGAAACCTAGTAAGTGGTTGTTTGACAATTCTGTCATATTTTATTTTGAGTATTTGTTGTTGACAGCTCGTCTCGATTGTTTCTGTTTAATCTATTGAAACTTGTATAGACTTGTGAGATTTAAGAGATTGGCATATTGTTTAGACATCTGCCTTTTGTCAACGACAACATATATTGCCTTTATAAGTTGTTTGTTTGTTGTTTTTTTTGTCATTGGGTTGCTGTCTCAACGATGTATATCCATCTGTGCGTAATGTAGATATTTACATATACAAGTTACATGTGTATATAAAACATGCCTTTCAGTTTACTTATAAATGTGATATGTATCAGTATCTAAGCACACTTTACACGTATTTCTTGATTGTACAATATTTACAATATGTGATACACGTATAAAAATACTCGGAAAAACATTTGTGAAGATCATGCGATTTACAGACATCGCTCCATGTATATATGATATTTACTTTTGTTGAAATCCGTTATACGTTGTACTATTTTTCCTTTAATAACGTCCGTAAACGTCCGTAGCTATTTTACCTGTGTAGAAAACTAAAAACAGCAGCACGAACCCTACTAAAAACTGGGGTTTTTTTCAGGTGCTCCTTAATCCTGAGCCTTACGAATTGAGACTCGGAAAAATATATTACGATTGGAAAAGAAAACATTCAATAAATGTTCATATCAGACGACTTTTTCGGTGTCTTGAGACCATTTAAAACATTCCACACAATCGTTGAGACAAGGACACATCGTACCCGTCAATTCATGTGTGATTGTAGCCGTAAATCTGAGGTTGCTGCTTATAAAGAAGCAAGCGAACCATGGGTTCCGAGTGGTTTAGTTGAGTCACTCTTTCGAAAAAGATTTCGGACGGCATCACGAGTTTTGCCGTAACCACAATCTCGCCCTCTTTTCCTCAATTGTGACAGGACCGATTGATACTTCTAACCGATTCTGTTCTTAACATGAGCAACAGGGAACTGCATCTTATGGAGTAGGATCTTCTTAGCACTTGAGATATCCAAGCAAATTCGGATGGGTCTTATTGCTCAGTTATTTTGTTTCCTATTTCTTTTTTCGGGAACTTGTTTGCCTTCTTGGTAATTTGAAATAAATCTATCTGGAGTATTGATATTTTTGGATTTTGTCTTTCGTGATAGAAGTAGAATGTTTATCGTTTGGTACAAAACTGCACAAACTGCCAAAACTACTCTCATTTTGAAATCAATTAGATTAAGACATGAGCAAAGTTTAACCAAAAAAGATATGTGTTTTTATGATGGAAAGCCGAAAGATACCAACGGGACATACACACTCATAAGTCGAAATAAACTGACAACGTCATGGCTAAAAAAGAAAACTTCCAACAGATAAATGACAGCACTTCAAACACAAGATAAGAACCAAAGAATGGGGAACACGAACCCTATCAGCTGTTGATTTAGAGTCTAAAAAGAGGAATACACGTCAAATTGACAGGAAACCAACAGCGACCACGCACTTACACACACTGAGATGGTCTCTAAAAACCGAAGATGAATATCACACATGTCTACTGCTAGGTTTGGACAGGCTGTGGATATATGGAAGAGACCAGAAAAGAACTATTACCACAATCATTAATGCACATGTATAGTTTATAGGACTTCGTTATTTTAAATCAGCCGTTTTAACACTTTTATCTTGTTTTGGGGTAGACTGGATATTTTCCGCCATTCAGGACTTTAAAATAGCATGACGACGAAAGGCGAAAGATACCAAAGTGATATTTAAACTAATAAGTCTAAAACAAACGGACAATACCATGACAAAACACGAAATATGAAGAAAAGAAAAGAAGTACACAAAACACGACATAGACAATTAAGAAAAGAGCAACACAAACCCACTCAAAAACTGGGGATGATCTCATGTGCTTCGGAAGGGTAAGCAAATTCTGTTCCACATGTAGCACCCGTCTAGTTCCTTATGAAAGTACAAATCCGGTGACAAGTCTTTAAGCAATTGGTCTAGATGTTACAGGCAATATGCAGAATTGTACTGAGAAATTCAATTAATTTGCAAAACTGAATAACGAAATCAGCATGTTGAATCTTATAACGACAACTGTACAGTATACAGTTTTAACATCCATATAAAGAGAAATAGCTATAATAACCCTTTTTAATAAAGGAATATAGGTAAATTCACAAACTTTTTTGTTTTGAAACAAGAAAACGAATCCCGTGACAAAAATTTTCCTTTTTTCTCAAAGCACATTTTTTTACTATTATTATTATTATTTAATATTCTCATAAATTATATTAAAGTACCTTAAAAGTGTTTTACTTGTGTCTATGAATTAGTTTCCTTTTTTGATATTGTAGAGCTAAGTGCTTTTCCTGCACAAACGTTTACTGAATATTGTCATATGTAACCTTTTTAACTGACTGGGACGCGGCTTTAGCATCTCAAAATTGTGTTTAACCCTGTGATAGTAAAAAATGATGTTCAAATTCAAAAGCCTCGTCTGTGATTGTTTACAATTACATCTAAATGTTTTTGTTTGTCAATTAGGCTATACGGTGATGAATGCTGGTCTGTAAAAGTTGCCGTTGTATTTATTCACAACTATTCTAGACTCAGGGCGACTTTCTGCTTGCAGTTTCATTAGACATTTGTCTATTGTTGAGGCATTTCTACCTCGAGGTACCGACAGGTGCTGAATATTTACGTAAAATTGAAAACAAAGAAAGAGCATTGGATAATGAGATGTTTTGAAGAACCAACCCAATTTTCAAAGATTCATAAAAGTTTATCAACATGCAGTCTAGCTCAAATTACAGTAGAAAACGTTAATACATTAACATTGCTCGATGGTCTAGTATTTGTCACTGGTGTTCAACACCTTTTTGTGGTCTAATAACTTGGCAATTTGATCGTCGTTTCTCGCTCACAAAAAATGATTTATATTTATTGTGCATAATGTTTTCCCGTCGGTTAAAAACCTGTAGGTAATTAAAGGTTATTTAAAAGAGTAGCCAGTTCATCTTAAAGTGACTTACATTGTGATACTAATGACATTGTTGTTCAATGTACACATATATATATATACATGGGTGGATATTTAAACCTATCATTCAGTGCACGCTAATACCAAGATAACAATAAGATTAATATACAATGTATGGCATGCTTTTTGTTTTTATTAAACTTTTTAATAAAAAAAAGGTTCCAAGATATCCAATTATAACGTAGGTGTTTGTACTTGTAAATTACTACTCTTTGTTTATTTTGAAGAATTTCTGGAGTCAATCATATTCTGAAATTCATTCTGCAATTTGATTGGTAGAAATTTACATATTTAAATTAATCAATCACTTAATGTAGGTTTTCCCACTAGCTGATATAGTGTTCATATCATTACTGACACTACAGGGACTTTCTTGTTTAAAGCCTCGGGTAAGACTTCTTCATTATCACACGTCTTATTTGAAGAACAGTGATCCTTTCTTAAACGATTGATATTGACACTTTATTACTATATATATAATAAAATATTAATTTTCGCGAACCATTTAGGTCACAGAAATTCCAAAAGATGGCATCAGTAAGGAGAGTTGTACAAATGATGTGAATACACAGAACCCGGATCCAAATTATCTTTTACTAAAAGTATTCATCATTTTCTGTTTTGTATGTACTAAAAACATTTCATTTTTCTACAATTTCGATTAAAATATTATAAAACCTGCAGTTCAATAGGTCACATGCCCCAAATAAACATTCCCCGATTGGTCGAACTACTGTGGCCTGGGTGTAAAGCAACGCAAGCCTCGATGTAAAGATCACGCTTCCAAAAATAGAGGTATGTCCCAACTTAACATTCCCCGATTGGTTGAATTGCTGCTGGATGTAAAGCAACGGAAGCCTTGATGCAATGAAGTAAAGGGGTTGACAGGATAAACGTAATCGTTATAAATTTTAACGTCATGGTTCTTATGCAAGCAAATTTAATAAACAATGATTTTATACAGTTGTGTTATTGTTTTCACCTTACATAGGGCTTTATTTCTGATCTTATTTCTGTGTACACAATTCTGAATCTACATATTTCACCAGAGACATATCTCTGATTTCACCTATATCAATATTAGGTAATCCGTTTGGACGATTCCATATACTATTATGTTTTAGGGTTTTTTAGCTTCAGTGTCGAGTTGGTGTATAGTATTGAGGGCTATCTGCAAGAAATAAATCCTTTTTTCTGATAGATTAACTAAATTCAAAACCAATATAAAAATAGTTTACACATATATTTTATTTAACTGAGTAAATTGATCGGAATGTGAATGATACATAAACCTAAAATTCGTTTTGGTCATAATCGGAACCAAATTAAATCTGTTTATGGAGGTGCGGATCAATGTTTTGAAAAAAGGGGGCCCCTGCCCAAGGCAAGCAAACGTTTGGAGTGATACTTGTAAATAGTCTATACATTTATCTTATAAGTAGCTCCATAAGGGGGGTCGGGGCCCCTAAATCCACCACTGTTCAAGCATCTACGTACAACAATTATGAATTTGTTCATTAATATAAGAAAAATATCAGGATATGTGGCTTGTGTGTTTGATTGCCAATACACCTTATTGCTATTTGTCCACCATTACTGGCCATGGACATCACAAAAGTTCCCTTAAAAAGTTGCCGTCATATAATAATATTTGACACCACAATTGAAAGTAATACACCTTATTTTTCTCAATACAAATGAAACAAAACAACTAACTGCCTACATTAAATACACATTATGAAAAAGAAATTTGACAGACTCAAACCAACAACAACTATTGCAACAAGCATGACTCAATACCTTGTTTCCGAAGCACACAAACAAGTTACAATAACACTAATATAAGCACCATTTAAATATGGAGATTTTTTTTTTCTAGTTAAATCAGTGTATGTATGTATTTGCAACACAGTAAATTAAATTTCCCTTAACAGCTTAATGAACATTACAAAGACTATGTAAGACTTCAGTACAAGCAAAATAATATAAACTGTTGCTTAAAATTATATTTATTGCTTCATACACACAATGTACATACAATGTATCTTTTATTTTTTAACAGGAGCTAAAAGAAAAGCCACAAAGGACAAGTTTAATATGCAGGTTTACAATTTGGAAGTGGCACAGGTTCTTTGGAATGTCTACAACCTTTCAGGAGAATTTTTTTTTGAAGTAAGATTTTCATACAGAATTACTGTTATTCCATATTTAATTCAAATATTTAGCATAAACAATGCATTACATTCAAGATTAAGGGCAAACAATACAGAAAAAATATCTGGATATTTGAATAAATTATATTTTTTGTGACAAAATAGAAACAAGTTGTTTATTTAAATCAATCTTTTAGTCCAACAGTGTGCTTTCATAAACAACAAATATGCTTTCCTTTGAAGTATTTCAAATACATATATAAACAACTCATTTAATGACATCTGTGTGTTTCTCGGAAGTTAAGTTATATTATTATCATCATTGCGAAAACAATGCGTAACACTTCGATAAGTTATTATGTGCCTATAGTATACTTCTAGGACTGTATCATATGCCCTTATATACAAATGACAAGTTGTAAACTATGTCACTCTACAGAGTTTAACACTTAAAAAGGACAATAAGATGTTTAATGACATTATGTAGCAGGGCTTTTAAAGGCCCCTACATGATACAATGCATTTAATGAAAACCAAAAAAAAACCAAGAAAAACAACAGCCTGATTTATACAAAACAATAAAAGAAAAAAAATATGATAGACAACAATCAACAAGTATACTATAATGAAATAAGACTCTTGACTGGACACATATCTAGTCTAAAGTTGTTTTTTTTTTTAATAACTAAATGAAGTTCAGCGTGGCACATTGCTCTCTCTTAACACGGTCAGCCATTTATCGTCCCCTTCCGACAGACTATCATCGTTATTTGTTTCAAAACTTTAAAGGGGAGGTGATGTATATCCTTCAGGCAACGTGAATCGTTCTATAATAAAGGAATGTGCAAGAAGTTTATATACGAATGTAAGATTAATTTTTTTTTCAGAAGCATGGCACAGCAAGAAAAAGATATAAGACACTACAAGACATTCCAAGTGATTTTGAATAAGACAATTGATTGACTTTTTCAATGTATTCTTAAATAAATCAAATAGTTGATGTAAAATGGTGTTTTGTTCTCATTTCTTCAGCCAATTATCAATGATTATTGACTTAAGATGTAACCCTATTAGAAGTTTAGTGTTTTAGTTTAGAAAGAGAAGTTGTATTGAAAAATCTGAATTTGGGACACAAGTTTTAGTCAATGTAACTTGAACTTAAAAATGTGTATAATGTTTGCTTAATGTCCAATGGCATATATGTCATGCATGTTCAGGTTGACATATGCATGATGTGTATAAGATAGGTAATAAAAGTTGAGAGTGAAAAACTAAACATTATACCATTGTGGTTGGAATGTGGGCTTTCTTGCACTGTCTGTCGTCTGTCCACCTATATTTGTCGGATTTTGTCCAACAAATATTTGCATCACTGTTTTTCCCAAAACTGCTGATAAAGATGAGTTCATATTTAATGAGCTGCTTGATAGTGATGAACTGTGATGTGAGAACATTTTTGTATCTGGCACCTGTTTCCTGTTTGCTTATACATTGTATTTCAAAATGTTGAATGTTCTCAAATTTTTCATTACTTTAATTAGTAATGCTGATGAACAGAATGACTTCATATTTGGTAAGTGGCTTGATCATGATGAGTTGTGTCTGCCATTTTGGATGTGTCAAAATTTGTAGATACTTCTTGTTTTTAGAGACTTTGAATTGAATTTCATATGCTTAGCAAAACAACTGATTTATTCTTGTTTGTATATAGAATTAATCACTGTGTATAAATTAATTTAACTAATGATTTGTTATTTAAAAAAGCAGGAAACTCAATCAAAAGTACAGAAATTTTTATATTGATATGTTCTAGATATCAACCAAAAACATCTTCTTAAAACATTTTGAAAACATTTTTTAGGCACAGTCTCACTTGCAAGAAAACATCCAAAAAACATTTTTATAACATTATTTGAGGTTCATGATGTTTTTCAAACGTTCAGAAAATATTTCTAGAAAATATTTTTTAAAAGATTAAAAGATTATCAAAATGTTTTATACGCCATTGTTTTTCACATTATCATGATATTTCTTTACAACATTTTAATTATATTATGTAAATATTTTAGAAAATATATTAGAAAACGTTTTAGCGATATATATTCTACCATACATTTAATGTTTTTCTGACGTTTTTTTGTGATATTTTCATGACATTAGACACAACATTTTAAAAACATTTTAAAGATGTTTTTGTGTTTGCTGGGCTAAGCAACTGTCTAGCCTCTAGGGCCAAGTAAGGGAGGTGAAAAAGTCAGTATTACGCAGAACGATAAACAGTTACATAGACGGATCCAGGGGGCGGGGAAAATTTGGTTGATTTTATAGGGAAGCAGGGGCGGATCCAGCCATTTTATAAAAGGGGGGTTCCCAACTCGGGACAAAGGGTGGGTGGGGGGGTGTGTGTTCCAACTATGTGTCCCCATTCAAATGCATTGATCGTACAAAAAGGGGGGGTTCCAACCCTCGGAACCCTTCCCCCGGATCCGCCACTGGGGAAGCATGACGGGAGTGGGCAACCCTAGCTTAGGTCAGTCAGCGGCCACCCCCCTTTTATGAAAAGTTGTGGATCTGCCACTGAGATTTATATAAGCAGGTTTTCTTTGTGTAGATACCTTAAAATATCACCAACTGTGACTGAGTACACAATTTGATTCATTTTAGCTCATTAGCCGGGCTCACTCCCTAGAAAGGTTCATTGCGGGCCTGCTCACTGGCTAACATTTTACGATATTCATGACTCGTGTAGAAAAGCCGATAATCTATACATGTGTGTGAGGAGAAGTTATCAAGCTTGCTTTCGTCTGTAAAAACTGTCTTAGGCCAAGTTAGGGAGGTGAAAAAGCCAGTTATAGAACGATAAACAGATGATCAGGTTTTCTTCATATAGATCCCTTAAAATATCCCCCACTGAGGACACAATTTGATTCATTTTAGCTCATTAGCTGCGCTCAATCGCCATAATAGGTTCATTGCGGCTTACTGGCTAATATGTGTAGAAAAGCTGATAACCTATACATACATGTACATGTATATGGTCAGATCATATGTTTTCGTACGTCATATGAATTTGTACTATGCATACCTTTTCAATGGAAATTGTGACGACGGTATGCATTCTTAATAGCACGAAAAAAGATGAGAAGAGGATACATATGTCAACCAAAATTTTTCAGCAATGTCAAAATATGTGAGGACACCCTATCAAGATCTATTAAGCTTGCGCTCATGTTGCGCTAAAACTGTTTTAGGAAGGTGAAAAATACCAACAATATAACAATAAATAGATAATCGATATTGTAAAATATCAATGTGTTGAAAAGCCAATGATCTACATATATACTTAAATATGTCAACCATAAAATAAAACTGATTTAATTTACACCACAACTGTTGAAAAAACCTTTATGTTTATATAACTTATCTCATTCTAGTCCATTCAACTGACAGAATCGGTGTACATTTCATGAACTCTTTAATAACAATAATCATCATGGACTATTCTTTATAGAAATATCTATATTAGGGGTCTTTTGCATTCAAAGTTTAGTTTTAGTGGGTTTATTTTGCGAAAAAGAACTCAATTTCCAGATCAAAGTTAACATTTTCTATATATTTTGCTGTGTCAAAATGACCTAATGAATATAAAGGACAGTACCCATATAGACCCAAAAATGGTATATCACATTCTACACATGACATTTTAGCAGGAAAGACTGCCATTGGAGTATATAACTTTTAACCTGTGTATAAATAATTAAAATATGATAATAAAATTCATGTCTTTTTCAGGACTTCTGATCGAACCATGTAGTATGGCATGTTTATGAGATATGGTTTTGGTGGATAGGATGTTCATGAAGGACCTGTAGTACAAAGTATATCACTGGATTGAGCTCTTTGTCTAAGTGTATTATTAAAGTGCTTTGCTTTGAGCTCAGTTCATTGTTATGCAATTCATTCTTTGTGAAATAAAGATTTGACAGACAACTCTCATGTACAAGGATTTGTCAGGGTAGTATCCATTCTATGTACAATGTAAGTAATAAGAAGATAAAAGCATTTTATTATGATTTGAACCAAACATTTTTTGTCCATTAACCAAATTTTAAAAAAAGAACAAATTTACTCGACAATGCTACACTCACTACTAGCAATATGATGCTAGGTTGTTTTAATACATCTGTACTGCCTACTGATGCCTCGGTCCTGAGTGTAATGGGTCATTCAGTATGTTAAAAAAAAAAAAAAAATTTATAAGGCCTATCTGGCCTAATTGATTTCTAAAACTATATTTCATTGAACATGTTCAACATTTTTCATTCATTTGTTTATTTCTCAATTTGTGTGAATTAACATTGTTACAGTAAATGTTAATTACTACACTTTCATACCACAACAAATACTGCATTGGTATCACTTAGATTTGTATCCATATAACAAAAAAAATTGAAAAGAGAATAATTTTGCAATACCTTTTTCATATTGAATACTACAACTTTTTTGATATTTAGACATATTAAGTAGATTTTCATAATACCCACTTGACATGCTTGAAATTCTATCAGATTACTTTTGGAGCAGTTATGAGTCTTTGAAGCATGCGCACAAAGGTTTTTTTGTTGATATCGTTTTCATATTGGTCAAAACTTTTTTTTGCTTCGGCCAGCTTTGGAGATGTTATCAAAGAATTGATAAAAAACAACACAGAAGTTTACTTTCTAGCTCATCTAGCCCCAAGTATCATGTCAGGCATTTTCATTACTAAAAACCAATAAATGTCTTCTAATCTGAGAAACAATTTCGACATTTTAACAAAATATTTTACTAATGATACTGACAATCCACCACAAAGTAATATAAATAGAACCATACAAATAGTGATCAAATACATAAAAAAAAAGATGTGGTATGATTGCCAATGAGACAATTCTCCACAACAGACCAAAATGACACAGAAATTAACAACTACGGGTCACCGTACAGCCTTCAACAATAAGCAAAGCCCATAACGCAGTCATTTATGTTATTTATGTACACAAAATAAACGAAAAACAAATATTATGTAACACATAGACAAACGACAACCACTGAATTACAGCCTCCTGATATCATGTTCTCAGATATCATCTCCCATTTAAAAAAAAATCACATGAAAAAATGAACCTATTATGTGTTGCTCTCCTAGCTACAAAATGTATCCAAAATCAAAGATGTGGAAAATATTCTATCATAATCATTTGGTCATTAATGCAATTAGTGTCTCTTCCATGCCCTCTTGAACATAAAATCTAAATATTAAATAAACAACACTCCTCATGCTCAGGTTGGTTGTCATCGTGCAACACAGTTAATAACACCATATAGGAAAAACATAGAACTCCTTTTGTCATATAAAACACTGTCAAACATCCAAACATACTATCCACATTCATCTGTGTCCACACTTGTTATTAAGGAATATATATCTCTACTGCAAAGCTCTGATTAGTTGCCAGCTTTGACTATGATTTTGTTCTTTTTGGTTTACAAGATACATTTATTGTCGCTAGCACATCTGGTGCAGTAAATTTCGCACTGTTAATGCTATTCTCAATTGCATTTTTGTCTGCTATACATTAAAACACTTTAAGAAACGATTTTACATAAATGTAATTGATTTAAAAACTTCAATTACAAATATTATATCTGAAAAAGTTAAGCTAAGGAATTTTGACATGTCCTTCTTTATATAGTTTCAAGATGTATTTTAAAAACTTTCAAAATTTCATTAAGTGCGACAATCGAGAAAAAAGTCGACACATACATTTATTTGCAATTATTAAAATAACACATGTTGAAAATTGAAGTATCGAAAGCAGAATAACATGCAAGAAATTTTATACAGCGTAGACTCATATAAGAAATCTATTTCTAGCAAATCAGTTAAAATATTCTATAGATGCTATTTGAAAGTTCAATCTTTCATGTCCGAACCGCTTTTGTGGATTAACCTCAGCTTCGCTCA